GCTAAAACAGGGCCAGGAGTGGTTCCAGTTTGTGTCTCCAAGAACAAATCACCTTCTTCTAATTTACAGGCATCAAACAGCGTCCCTTTAAGCTCTTTCCCTCAGCAGTGGGGAAAAAATGAGCCCTAAAATGAACACTGCTCTTTTTCTCCTAAAGATGATTAAAACCAAGACTCAAGCAGATCAAACCATTTCCAAGTAACCTAACTATGTTCTTAAACAGAGGTCAAGAGTGTTTAAGAGAATACAAAATGTCCAGCCACTCATAACTGAGAAATGATACAGAATATAAAAATAGTAAAAGAAAAACAGAGTATTAAAAAGATTATCACTATTGCATATCATGCATTCAATTAAGGACATGTGTGGAAAACCTATCGCTTATTTTATACTTAATAGTCAAAGAATGAGCATTTTTCTACCTAAAATGAAAAGCATGGACATATGCTTGCATAGATTCTCATAATTTCTATTCAAATCGTACTGGATGTGCTACCCAGTATATTGAGGAAAAATGAAACAAATTCATCTAGATTGGCAAGAAAAAAGAAAAGCTTTCTATTTGCAAATGACATCAACATCTATGAAGAAAATGCTACAGAACCTGCAAAATAATTCTCTAATCAGTGAGTTTAGAAGTCTTAAGACCTCAAATAAATATGTAAATGTCAATTTATTCCTATATATCAGCTACAAACAATCAGAAATTGAAATTTTTAAAGAATATATACAAGGGCAAAAAAAAAGCTATAAAATATTTAGGGATCAACCTTATGAAAGATGTGCAAACCTGTATACTGAAAAGTACATAGTATTGCTATCATACAAAATTAAATAAAGGGAGAGAGATACTTGTATTCGTGAGCCATAAGACTCAATATTATTGAGATGTTAATTCTTCCAGACTGATCAAAAGGTCCAATGGTATCGCTATCAAAATCCTAGTAGGATTTTGTGTAAGTTAACCTGATTTGAAAATTTATATGTGAATACAAGAGTTATTTAAAATAAATATTGGAATGCTGATATGACCTGATTTCAAGAAACATAAAGCTATAATAATCAATAGATAGCATGCTACTGAGAGTCAAGAAATAGACTCATATACATATATGGTTTATTGATTTTCAATGAATATGCAAAGGCAACTTGAAAATGTACTTTTTCTTTTCAACAAATGGTGCTAAACTATTGGATATTTAAATGAAAGTGATTTACCTCAGTCCATGGCAAAATATACAAAAAGCAACTCAAAATAATAGACCTAGAAAATGTAGGAGAAAATCTCTGTCCTTGGGCCAAGCAAATATCCATAAATAAAACATCCAAATTGCGATTTATAAATGGAAAACTTGTTACCTTCATCAAAATTAAGATCTTTTGATCTTTCAAATACATTATTAAAGAATACAAAGTAAGTCATAGAATGGGAGGAAATATTTACATAATACATATTACACAAAGACTTTAATCCAGAACATAGATAGCTCTTAAAATTATAAGAAATGAATTAACCCAATTTAAAGAAAAATTTCACAGATATTTCATCAAAGACATATGATAGCAAAAAGGAATATGAAATATCATTACTTAACAAGAAAATGCAATCTAAAACTGCAGTTGGGTACTACCACATACCTTTTAGTATAGCTAAAATTCAAAACAATCCTGAGCATAACAAATATTGGCACAGATGTAGAGAAACTGGAACTCTGAAACGCTAGCTATAGGAACGTCATAGTACAACCTACTTTGGAAACTAGTCCAGCTGATTGTTAGAACTTTAAACACCTATCACAGAACCTGGTCATTTCACTCCAAGAGAAATGAAAGCCTATGTCTACACAGAGACTTTGATATGAATGCTCAGTTCAGCATTATTCATAATAAACAAAGTATATAAACAAGCCAAATACCTATCAACAAGAAATGGATAAACAGTATGTTCCATGCATTGGAATACCACTCAGCAGTATAAGGGAATGAACTATAGAAACATACAACAGAATGCATTAATATTAAAATTATGCTGAGGGAAAGAAACCAGGCCCTAAGAAGTATAGTTTGGGGTCCAATATGGTCTTCTCTCCCAAAAAGCACATATTGTATATTTCTCCTTACATACAAACCAACCAAGTAACAGAAACTCAATCAGTGGTTTTCTGGGGCTGTGAGGAAATATTCAGGGGCCAGAAATCACCTTGCTTTCAGTGATGGTTTCACAAGGGTGTGTGTGTATGTGTGTGTGTGTGTGTGTGTGTGTGTGCGCGCGCGCGCCCCCTTGTGCATGCATGTTCATGTGTATGTGTGTATGAGTATGACAAAACTTAACCAAATTATGTACTTTAAATGTGTGCAGTTCATTGTATGACACACCTATAAATAAAGCTATTTTAAAAAATAGATGCAGTGCTGAGGAATGTGACTCAGTGGTAGAGCACCTGCCTAGTGCTGCAAAGCCCTGGTTTCATCTCCAACACTGAAGAAAGAGGAGGAGGAGGAGGAGGAGGAGGAGGAGGAGGAGGAGGAGGAGGAGAAGGAGGAAGGAAGGAAGGAAGGAAGAAAAATAAATACTAAGGGCTTCTCTACTACAGTGGGAAGTTAGGATAATATATAAAACTAAAAATCAAGAAGTAAAAATATTAGTGTGCAACTTAGGGATGTCAACTTAAAGACTGAGATGTTTTCCTCTAGAAATGCACAAATTATTTAGGGTGTGTGGAACAAACATAAAAGACTTCTATTTTTCATAATAAAAGGCTGTCAGAAGAAGTTTTCTCTTTAGATTACATGCATACATAAATTTGATAAAAATAAATAGTATACTTTAAAAATAAACAAGAAAATGAAGGGCTGGGGTTGTGGCTCTGTGGCAGAGGGCTTGCCTATCATGTGTGAGGCACGGGGTTCCATTCTCAGCACCACATATAAGTAAATGAATAAAATAAAAGTCCATCGATATCTAAAAATATATTTTTGAAAATTTAAGAAATAAACAAGAATATGATTAATCATAGAGCAGGTCTATACAGTCTCATTTATCTGTGATTAATTTACCAAAGTTCGAATGAGGTTGACTTCAATTTACTCAGATTAGTTATTAAATATGGCTGTATTTTATTTGGTAATTGAGTGTTTTCCACTTTGCCTTGCCATTGCAGGGCTGATAGAGTAGTAAAAACCCAAAATATTTATCCTGAGAAGCAGAACAAAATGATTCCCTTCTTTTAAAATGTGTTTTGTGAAGATTAATTAAGCTTCTGTGTAGTTATTTTCTGTACTTTATTGATTCGGGATTACTTGTACTCTGTAAATGTGTTGAATTACTTACACATCATGGGCAGCTAATGCTAATTCAGAACATACCCAGTGGGACCTCAGAGTCCTGAAATGCTAAATGTAATCTGGGGATCAGTAACATTCCATTCATAAAATGTGTCACCCACAGGTTAGTGGAAATAAACAATAGGAAAGACAATGGATGGATTATGCAAATGCACTGAAAAGATTAAGCAGGGGGAGGGAACTACAAGAACCCAATTTGTGTTTTATTTCAACATGGATTACGGTTTATAGTATAGAAAATGATTAAAGCTACTTTGCTAATTTGCTAATGCTCTTAAAAAAAAAAAAAAAGCACCCCTGCACAGAGAAAACTATTAAAATAAATTAGTTGTGGCTTTTTTTTAGAGGGGGGTGAATAAAGGGGTGAGTAGAAACAAGGTTAAGGAAAATTTTAACAGTAAATATAATGATAAACAGTATTCTGAAGGAAAAAAAAGTTAAGTGACTAAATTTATATAGTATTAGTTTGCATGTATCTGTGACTAGTGAAAGTTTTATGAACCTAAGACCTAATCCTGAGATAAATTCAATTACTGCTTTGTTTTAAAAGAAAGAGAAGAATCAGTCTTTTTCTTTAAAAATATGCATAAAACAAATTTCTTTAAAAATATGCATAAAACATGATTGGGGGGGGAACCTGTTTGAATCATAGTATGCAAAAATTTATTTCATTATTGCATCTGAGAAAACAAGCCCACCAAGCCCCTAAATAATGGAAAAGGACATGAAGACGAGTAAACTTTTTTCTAAGACATGAGTTTGCAGATTTCTAAGCCAGAACAAGGTGGCAGCCTAAGGAAAGCCAGCTGCCTGTAGCCCTTGATCTTGAGGAGGGACATGGCAGTCCTGGAAAGGGGGTGCTTTGCTGGATCTGGCTCAACAAGCAAAGAGCTGCAGCTGGATGAAATAGCTCTGATACTCAGTAACTCTTTAAGTGGAAATTGACCTGAAGAAGGACTCCCTTGTCAAGAGCAATGAACCTGTTAACATCTGGTGGCAACTGACTTTAAAAGAAGTCCACTCCTTCTCCTAGCCCCCCCTAACCCTGATTTCAGAACATCCCCATTACCTGCCCACACTCCAGTTGTTGCTATTTAGTTGGAATACATGGGACTAGAAATACTTGGGCCAGATAAATGTGCTGACCGATGAAGTGCAGAGGGTTTGTGTGGTGTAGGGAGAAAGAAGAATTAGACACCATGGTAGCAAGGCAGAGTATCAGCAAAGGGGATGGGGAAGTTGTGCAAATGTTTCCATCTCTAAACACACTAATTATGGGAAGAAATGGGAGAAATCATTTCATTTTCTCCTAGAGCTTTAATAATAACAAACCTTAAAACAAGAAATTATTAGGTAGTGCATATTAATTGTCTCTTTGTGAATGACCCTTGAGGCTCTTTTTAATTGAGTGTCCTCTTTGAATACATGCTTCATCAAAACTCAACTTTTTCATCACAGTTGATACCTTTATTATTTAAAGCTTTTAAATCATAGGGCTAGGTAAATTTTAGCAGTTAAAAGTTTTCCTGGATGAGATGATGCTATTTTAAGCTGTTTCTGTGGTTTTCTAATAATGCCAAGTAATATAAGTGGGAATCATTTACTTCTTGGGTATTAAATGTTTGACTTTTTTGTTCCTTCTTTTGTCTTTAAAGATATTGCTTTCCCTTTGGACGACCTGAAGGTGCTCTAAAAGCTACACTCTCATTACTTGAAAGGGTATGTTTGAACATTATTTTGTAAAGTCTATTTGCATTCTGAATTTCTGTGTATATTGGTTATTGAACTAGGCATACAGTCTCATCCCTCATAGTCTACTACAGGAGTTTGTTGCATTTCCTGAATTTATTACCTTTTCTTACTACATTCAAGTTCTCCCGCTACCAGCTTCTCCCTCCTGGAAGACTTTCCACTGCCATCCTGTTTTTTTGATAATATCCATATTTCTTTTTTTTTTAAAGATTTTTTAAAGATGGATACAGTATCTTTATTTATTTTACTTATTTTTATGTGGCGCTGAGGGATCAAACCCAGGGCCTCACACGTTTGAGGCAAGTGCTCTACCACTGAGCTATAACCCCAGCCCATGATAATATCCATATTTCCACTTCTTTTTTTTTCCTCTCATGGATTAATCTTCTCTTGTTTCAGTTAATTATCTCTGTTTTTCAAGGTCTTTTATTATCTCTTCAACTTTATTGTACTTCTGCTTGCCACTGTCCTCGGTGACTATCACAGTATATCATTTAATATGTACAAACACATCACTCCTATCATTCGTTTCATTCAAAATACATCTTGGAATTTATTTCACTTCAATTTATGTGTTTCTTTAAATGAATTCACAAGTTTTAGAAAGTGTTTTGCCCTACAAGATAAAATAGCAAATAAGAGTTTAAATTCATGCTAAAAATCAATTTTAAATGAAAGTATACACTTCTTTTTTATGTGGCAGTTGAGGTTTGAGAGGTATCTTTTTCATTCCTCTATGGATCTCATATGCTAGTTGGATGCTAATGGTTAAACATGTTGAGTAACGTGGTCAGCTCCTGGTCAATATCAGAATTTAAAAGAATTTCTGGGTCTCAGCTATAGCTCATGATTCAATTATCCTGGTCCTGATTTATCGACTGGTTCTTGTGTATTTTTCTGCCAAATTAACTTTAGAGATTTTCATTGTTTATTAGCAACTCCACTAAAAACAGAAAGGGAGGACATTGCTCAGATATTACAGCCCCATTACAGTGACTTAAGAACAAGGGATATGAGGACTAGAACTGATGATTAAAATGAAATCTTCGGATTATGGACTGATTTCATTTATATATCCCTGTCTTATCCCTGATTGTTGAGCACTGTGTGATAGAAATATTATGATAAAATTATGTTGTGCTAGAATTTTTGTAATAAATGTTGCATGCAACCCAAGCTTTTCAGAATATTCATTTCATTCAGTTCATTAAGATATCGTGCATAAACTGAAATCCATAAAGACTGCTTTACTTTTTGGAACTGCATCCCATCACGTTGTACCTAGGGCAGCCTCTCTAGATCCTGGTTTCCATGGCAGAGCTGCCCTCCTCCTCGCAGCAGGGAACAGTTAGTAATAGCAGAGATGCCCTCATGCCATGCATTTGAGAGGTGACAGGATGAACAGTGACCTTTATTCCAGTTTTAGTCACAATCACACTTCTTGGTGAATTGAGAGAGAAATGTTAAGGACCATTTCTTTATTTTTTTTTTTAATGTCTCTTACTGACAACTTAAAAAAATAAAATTAAATCTACATGTGCATCCTTAATACCTATGAAACCTGGGAAGAACACAGGAAGGAAGTATGAAAACAGAAGTTGGTTCTCTTGCTTCACCAGAAAAGAGGATTCAAGTTTACCCCATTCCAAATTAAGTGCCCAGATCTTACAATATATGAAATATTGCCTAATTTAAGCCCTAGACTCTGTGGCAGTCATACATTGTAATTTCTAGTAGATATTTCAGCTATTTAAAGTTTATTGCCATAGGAAGCCTAATGATAAAATTAATAATTCTTCCTAGCAAAATTGATCTTAATGTTAAACTTCAGCAATAATCATATTTAATAGAGTAATGCATGTTTAATGTTTACATGTATTTTATTATGCACAACCAGATTTTTCTGGCTACAGAGAATCTAAAGTACAGTTCTAATTAAAGTGTCAGAATAGCATGAAGAATAGTTGAATTTGATAAAGGAAGAAATTTTGTAAATGATAAAGTTTATTGTTTTCAAAAAAGGCTATCTTACATAATAAAATGTTAAAATGGTTATCAGACTCTTGGATGACTGAATAAATTAGAGATGGCAATATCCTTAGTGATGAGGCTGATTTAAAAAAAAGAATGAAATAATGATTAAATAGCTTTTTTTCATGTTCTTTCAATATTTCTTTCAAGATAGCACACTAATAAAATAATTAGAGCACTTACGAAAGCATCAACTTCTTTATATTTTGTCATTTATTTTATCCTTTAAATATAAGCACAACAAGAAAAACTGCTCACTATATTGGAGTTTGACTAATAGTATAACCAAAAGTTATTTGATCAGTTGCATCACTAAGAAAGTTTCTGAGAAAATGATCGAGTCATTATAAAAGTATTTACATTCATATGACATTTTGAATTTTGGATATAATTGTATTTGCTCCTTGCCAATAATAAAAGGTTTTAAGGAAAACTCCAAAAACACATTTTTGGAACCCAACAGAGAATAATTAGTTATTTTGTTCAAAACTGCAGGAAGTTTCCATATAGTTTAGCCTWTGATACATTTCACTAAGACAAAGAAGTTTCCTTCCCCTTATTTTTATAGTTTGTGACAGTAATGTTCAGTAGATCACAGTCATTAAGGTTTAATAAGTGAAAGAAGCCCTTTTGATTTTTATAGAGATCGAGCAGTATGCCAATTCTTAGTGGAATTTCTCTTAATATTTTCAAATATATTGCTCAGAAGAGCTAGGGCATTTAAATTAGAGAAGTACAAGACAAACTTTGTTTATTATTTGTCCCAGGAACTGTAATCCTGACCTGAAACAGCTGCTCTAATGATGTCTTGGGTCCCTTGAGGAAAAGTGACAGTCACACTGAATGGTGGCCTGGCCTATGGGAGGTTTGGATGTGCATAAATGAGGCTTAGACAGGAGGAACCAAGATCTGAGGATTAGGTTTCCAGTTGTGAAGTGCCGACCGGTTACTTACCCCCAAGTTACAGAGGACCCCTTCCCCCTCCCCAGGAATAGGCGTGTCTAGGACAATTTGTCTCATTTAAGTATTTATTTTATGCAACATCTATCTTCTATCTGTCTCTCCCCCCCTCCCTCACCTCTTTCTTGGTAGGTTTTAATGAAAGATATTGCCACTCCCATACCGGCAGAAGAGGTGAAGAAAGTGGTCAGAAAATGCCTCGAGAAAGCTGCCTTGATCAATTACACTAGACTCACAGAATATGCCAAAATAGAAGGTCAGTGCAGTGAGCAATTGCCCAAGTGGCAGGGAGAGCCAACAATGCCTATTAACTGAGTTTTCTATGAGAAGTCTTTCCTTTTCTGAACGGTCCTGGACCATGGCAAAGGGAAATGTCTCATTAAAATCTCAGCTGGTGAACTGAAGAGCTTTTTCCTATTCATTGCTTTAATATGCCTCCTGGGACTCTGCTTGAATGAAAGTCCCAGGATTCGTGCCTAAGTTGTCCTTTGTTCTTATTTTGAGTTTTCGAGAAACCAAAAGGTGTTTTCACGGGCTGTATTTTTTGACATTACTGTAAGTATGTCTAACATTTCAGTGTTGGGCTGTGCACTCTTTCCTGAGCAGTCTCAGTGTAATATTATGTAATTTTATTTTCTATTCTGCAGTGTCACTCAGAGAAGGAAGAAACTTGTTGATTATTGTGAGGGCTGAAATAAACCAATAGAACTTCCTGCAGCTTTTAATTGCTTGCGATATATTGATGCATTTGAAAGATTAGATCTCTCAAGGGGACTGTGCATTTTTTTCTCTTTCTTTGGGTTTTATTCATTTTAAACATATTTAAAATGTTTAGAGATAAACAGATTGGAATTTGTGACAAAATCTGCATCTATTCATTGATCCTTTGAAAGATTTATTTAAAAGAACCAAAAAAGACCTCTGATTCTTTGCTCAAATTACCATAAAACTGACCTATGTAAATACATAGCATTACCTGAGGGAGAAAGAAGTTTGAAGTTAATATTAAATACTTATATCTGAAAATAAAAAGCAAGTCATCCTTTAGAAAAATTGTAGTTTCAATGGAAAATTTTTCTTAGTGAATTATAAATTTATGAATTAGTTAATATTAGGATAGTATTATCAAAATTCAGGCAATGGAAAACATCTGATTATAATTGGTTGTGCTATCACTCCTTTTTTCTCTCTAAATCTGGTCAAGCTCTCTAACAAGCATGTGATAACCAACCTCCTGAGTGATTAACAAAAAAGCCATCTCATCACTATAGCAACCAATATTATATCACGAGAGTAACAACATGACACCTCCTTAGTTACCAGTTTAACATCATTAATTATGATATCATGTCGTGTTAAAGCAAAAGCAGTGAATATTAGATCATTTGCAGAAAGTGGAAGATAAACACATTGGTTTTCAGTTTTGAATACTCATTCAAATAATTTTCATGTTCAGGAGTATTAAGTGTTCTGAACAGAGATTCAAAGAATTAACATAAAAATGGACATATTAAAACCTTTCAGATATGTCAAAGAGAAAAAAAGTTTGTGCATACCTTCAATAAGCACAACATTATTTCGTATAAATGTCATCAACCTTATCCAAAACACTATGTGGTTCCTTTTGATCTTCATTGTTAGATAAAAATTTTTGACCATTACCCTATTCAAAAATACTGAAAAGATACACAATGTATTTTTCTATGAACCCATGTATTTTATTATAGTCATGGAGCCAAGTTAAAATGAATAAAGAAACTTCTTTTACTCGTGCATGTAAAGATAACTCTGTATTAGTGAAAGCCTATGCTGGACCAAATGGAGAATGAGCAGAGACCACACCTGCCTCACCTCATATCTCCAGTCTAGTGTGAGAATATTCGAGAAAATTGATCCTAACAATCTACTCTGGTGGAACTACCAAGTAATCTCCTCTAAAAACAAAACAAACACACACATACAAAAAAACCCAAAAATCACAAACAAACAAAATGATGTGGGGCTGGGGTGTAGCTCAGTGGTAAGTGCTTGCCTGGTTTGTGATCCCCAGCACCACACACACAAAAAAATCTCTTGCTTGTTAGCTTTTTAATTATCTACTTTCTCCCTCCTTTTTATCTTTATAAAATATGCTTTTGTTTTGTGTCTAGGAACAGGCCAAGAACAAAACAAATTTAAGTTGGAAATAGTAAGGAGAACTTACCTTTTCTTGTTTGATTGACCTTTAGTGTTACATGAACAACATGAGTAGGCTTTGCTTTTCTCCTAAATTCTCTTTTCTTATGTTTTAGGCCTGGCAGAAAAGGAAACAGGTAATTAATGTCTCTGCATGCGTGTGCCATTATTTTTAATGTGGTATCTTTTTGTTGTTGTTGTTGTCATTAAACTATTTTTTGAAGAATACTGACATACAAAAAGCTGCATATTCTTACTGTATACAGCTTGATAAATTTGAGATAAGTATACAGCTATGAAGCCATCACCAAAATCTATGCTATAAACCCATCCGTTATTTCCAAAAGTTTTTTCCTATCCTCCCCATCATTATTACTATTATTTGTGATAAAAACACTTACCATGAGATCTACCCTCCTAGCAATTTTTAAGTATATAATATAGTTAACTGTAGGCATTCTGCTGTGCAGTAGGTCCATAGGGTTTACTCAACTTGCACATCTGAAACTTGGAACCTCAGGATTAATATCTGCCCTATTTTCCCTTTTTCCTAAACCCTAGCAATCACTGTTCTACACTCCACTTAAATGGGTTCAACGAGTTTAGACTTCTCCTAAGAACATGTATGATTGCACAAATGGTGCATCTCCACACCGTGTACAACCAGAGAATTTAAATGTTGTGCTCCGTTTGTATATGATGAATTAAAATGCATTCTGCTGTCATGTACAACTAAGCAAAACAAATATAATCAATCATAATAATAAAAAATAGATTTCTCATATATGGGGTTCTGTACTGTTTGTCCTTATGTATCTGCCTTATATACCAGAAGTGGGATCACTAAATCCTATGGGTACTTCTTTTTTTTTTCCGCCCCCAAGAACTACGCCAGATCACATTCCCATCAACAGTTCCTAAGGATTCTTATTTCCTCTTGTCCTCACCAACCCTTAGTGTGGTGGTAGGCAGTTTTTGGTTTTGATAATAGTCATCCTAACAGGAGTGAGGTGATACCTGCCACATTCTGGTTTTGATTTCCATTTCCCTGAAGATCAGTTGTATTGAGCATTTTTCATATACCTGTTAACCATTTGTAAGTCTTTTGAGAGCTGTCTCTGTTCCTTTGCCCATATTAAATTGGTTGTTTTTTTTGTGGTGTTGTTTGATTTGTGTTATTAAGTTGAATAAGTTCTTATGTATTCCAGGTATTAACCCCTCTGTTGGATATATAGTTTGCAAATATTTTCTTGCCTTCTGTAGTTTGCTTTTTAATCTCATCATTTCCATTGCCTCTGATAGTCTGGTGTTTTTGATATTGATGAATAGCTCTCTATTTTCAGAGATCATTTTGATTAGGATACGGAAAAGGCTTGAACTTTTTTAGAACTATTGCTGATGCTTTGTTGGGAAAACAGGCCTTTATCTCTGTAAAAGTTTGACAATATTTTTTGATAATGAATTCAAAGCAAAGAACCTGTAACCATGTTAATGTTATGCATTGTGTTTAAAGCTTGGATACTCATCTTATTTGGAAGCAGTTGCCAATATTTGAAGGGCTCTTAGAACTAGAAGAGAGTACCATCTTCCTTTATCACTCTTGAAAAATAACATGAAAATAAAAAGCATAAATTCTATTACATAAAAGCAAGCGGTTCTTAAGTCTGAAAGTTGTTAATCAGAAAAAGCAGAGGTTATGAAATCCCTTTCTCAGGAAAATGCTTGGAAAGAGTTTTTCTCTGCAATTTTTCTCTGAAATTTCAAAGATTGTATTACTTTGTTTCTTGTACCTCTTATTATAATTATAAATAATTTAACTTTATATCCATCCTATCTTCCTGCTGTTTATTTAGCCCCTAAGGGCACAGTCCTTTCTGACTTGTTCCTAGTGCCCCAGCACTAGGATCCTATCACTGTACCTGGTGACACAGAGGAGGCTCTCAGAACTTTGGAAAGAGGCAAGATATTATTAGTTAGTTTCATTCAGAAACAATGGAGGAAGAGACAAGTAATGTACCTTTCTAGGCCTAGTTTCTTCRTTTGGGTCTTATTTACATGCAATGTTACAGACAAGTTGATTGGATTGTTTTTCACTGAAGTCTTCTGTTAACAACTCTCCCTTCCCCCTTTCCCTCCCTCCCTCTCTTATTCCCTCTCTCTGTCCCTCTTTCTCTCTCTCCCTCCTGTTCTCCCTCCTTCTCTCTCTCCCTCCCTCTCTCTCTCTCTTTTAGTGAGGGAAGCTTTTAAAATTATTTTCATTATTTGACCCTAGAAAGTGACAGGAAGAAAAAAAAACAGATCCATCCCTTCTAAGGGGAAAATAAGAGACCTTAAAATGTTTAATAAGTGCTCTTTAGGGGAAAAAAATAGAATAAAAAAGATAAGGTTAGTATCATCCCCACTTATGGCAACCCATTGCAACAGTAGCAGTCTCGTGCTCTTTAACAAGCTTTTCAAAACATTTTATGATGTTAAACTCCACCACAATGCTATTATGAAAAATAAGTTTTTATTCTATTTTACAAAGAAAGTCCAGATGTATCTGTGGCTCTCCCTCTGCTACAGGGTAAATAAGCCAGCCAACTGGGAAAGACTCAGGTGTCCTGATCCCTAATCTATGGGGTACACTACTTCTCCTGACAAATAGAAAGGGGTCACAGTGGACCTCCATGAAGTGTGGGCAGGGGTGGCCTGTTGAGTTGGAGGTGGGAAGAGGAGAAGAGATCCCACATACTCAGCTGACCCTCAATGGAAGTTTTCCCTGCACTCCTATTTGGCATCCATACCACTGCTCAACCATACAGTTCAGCAACTCTAAAGTACATTTATTAAAATGAAATGCTTATTTAGAACAGAGAAAAATTGGTGTGATCTCTGATTTCAATGAATGGAGGGGAAAGCTAATATCAATTGGGGAATGTTCTGAAGTAACAGGAGTTTCTAAGAAATGAATTTACCCTCCTTTAGTTGCATTTAGTAGCAGGTTAGACCTACAGAGTTAACTAGTAGATGTGCTTGGAGAGTACTTTTAAAAGTAGGTAAAAATGGGAATATCAACTACATGTCTAAGAGTTCAAAAGCTTGATGACTCTTTCAAATGGTAGTCTCTTGAGCACTTATACTATCTAAAAAGAGCAAAATTCTGCCCAAGATGTGTTGTAATTTTGTCAATTTGACCGCCAGTGTCTCCCAGAGGTTTTCTGTTTACATTGTTCCATAAGTTTCTTAAGCAACTTTACAAAATGGAAATTTTATAGAAGAGATCACTGAGACTTCAGAAAAGACTAGTAACTTAAAGGAGGTCATGCCATTGTCACTGAAACTCTGCAGACTTGGGATTCACACCCTGTGTCTCAGACCCCAGAGCCCCTTCATAGTCTTCTTGCTGCTGCTGCCACTCCAAGACTATCTGAATCAAAGTAATGACATCTTATATAAACACTTATGCATATCCCAAAAGCCAAGGCTTAATATTTGTTAATAATGGTTATTTGGTAATAAGAGCAAACACTTCTGTGCCTGGCACTATTCTAAACTCTTTATATATATAAAGTTACAACAATCCTTTGCAAATAAAAATTATTGTTATTATTTTTCTTTTTTTAAAGAAAACTGAATGAGAGAAGTTATACAACTTGTCTACAGTCATATAGTTACCAAGTGGAACATAAGAACTCACTGTTGATCTTTCTTCTTACCTTTCTCCATCTTTCTCTCTCCTGAAAAACTATAGTTAAATGTGTACTCAGTTAAAAATTCTTTTACTTTTTTCTCATAGATCTTATGATGTCAGGTATTGAAAGGGATTAGAATTTAAAAATCCCCTCCCAACCCAGACAATACAACATACGTAGTTCATTCACCTTTCTTATTGTCCTATGATGTTAGCTACATGAGGGGAGGACATTTTGTGTTTCATAACTGCTATATCCACAGTGCTGAGAAAAGTACACAGCACATATTTGGTACTCCATAAATATTTATCAAATATACAGATGAGTTTATGGCACAGACTATTATCAGGCTACTTACAGAAATAACATCTATAAGCTGGCGGGCTGCCTTGCAAAAGGTTATTCTAACCAGTCACTGAATAATTAAAATATAGGGCAAAAACTAATCATTTAAAAAATAATAAGAACAGAAAAACAAACCCGAGTTTTATGCTGTTATTATAAGAGGGAGAAGCAGGGAGGCACTAACTTGGGTCAGAGAGGTATATGTTCTGGATAGCAGTTGTATTTATGGTGCTGAGTATCTAACCTGCTTCCATTGTTTTATAATCCAGCATGCTGCTCAGTTGTGACTCAAATTCACTTCCATCCTTGGAAATTCTTCAGTTGTCCATTGGCAGCATGAATGTGCATAATAAAGAGATTCTAAAATTTGGTAATGGATTAATAAAGCCTCTCTCTAGATGTCTTCTTTCCTTCTAGGGAATTGTTGGCACATTTCATGAGAACTGATAGTTTGTTTTGAGAACTGAAATTTCTAAAAAGCAATTCTTTTTTAATTTGGGAGCTATAAAATGCTATTTGTTTGAATTGTTTTTTATAGTAATAATTAAGAAATCTGATTTACATTTACAACTAGCTTTCTTCTTTAGTTTAATTATGCTACTAACTATCCTAGTTATATAGTAGTGAGATTATTTATAATCTAGAATTCAAAATGACACTGAAACTCTGTTTTATTTCGTTTTGTTTTAGATCATATACCTTGTTGATGTAAATTAGATTTTTTTTTAATACCGGGGTTGAACCCAGGAGTGTTTAATCACTGAGCCACATCCCCAGCCCTTTTTATTTTTTATTTTGAGAAAGAGTCTCACTAATTTACCTAGGGCCTCACTAAGTTGCTGAGGCTGGCTTTGAACTTGCAATTCTCCTGCCCCAGCCTCCCAAATTGATGAGATTATAGGCTTGTGCCACCAAACCTGGCAGTATTATTTTTCAAGAAACATCCATGTGTTCTTTAGTTCAAAGAATTTCTTGTAGACAAGAACAGCAATAATCCTCTCATAACAGTTCTACATTTTCCTGGAAACTCTGTATCATATTGTGACTTACGGTTGCTATTACTTAGAGCTGGCCTTGACATATCTTTCACTTGGGCTTCTTGTGAATCTAGGAATGTG